TATATGATGCTGCAATCGAAAACAATTATATTTCATTGAATAATGGCGATCCTACGAGAGTGAAGCTCGTGAGTGGTTTTTTACAAAAAACCTCCCCTGATGTTTCATTCTGTACCACAGACATAGCTATTAATAGTTCCTGGAGTGTTAGTAGTGAAAGTTTAGGTAGTGACCATTTAATCATAAAATTTTGTTTTAAATATCCGGAACTACTTAGTATGACGTTAAAGCGAAATTTAAAGCGAGCTGATTGGTGTAGTTATCGTGTCGTTATGAACAATAATTTTGAACGAGGTTTACCACCTTCGGAAGACGTACAATGTATGTATGACTTTCTTACTACTCAAATTATTAACGCGGCCGACGAATCGATTCCATTCATAAAAATATGCAACAATCCAACGCGTAAATTCACGCCAAAGATATACTGGAACCAGGAACTTTCTAAAGTGATAGCTGAACGGCGTTTAGCCTTAACAAAATTTAGAAAGAACCCCGTGCCTCAAAATCTGGATTTACTCAATAATAAAATTAATGAAAGCCAAAAGATGATAAGACAAGCAAAATCTAAAGCATGGCATAATTTCTGTAACAGTATTGACGAGACTACAACTTCATCGGCCATGTGGAGAAAAATGCGCTGGATGAAAGGTTTTAGGCAATCGAAATCTTATTCATCAGACAAAAAGAAGGAAGAACTATTGAGAACATTGGCACCAGATTTTGTGATGACTTCTACTCCGTCTTTTGATTATAGTGAGTCACCATTAAATTGTGAATTTTCGTATCAAGAACTACAATCATGTCTTAAAACTAAAGATACATCACCTGGTATAGATACTATTACATATTCCATGATCTTTAATTTGCCCCTTAACTCTAAAATGTATTTACTTAAATTATATAATTTAATTTTTAAAACATCAGTTCCTTTCCAGTGGCGCGACATTTATATAGTCCCTATCCCTAAACATAGCAGTACCACTGACGATAAGCTTCGACCAATCGCATTGATATCTTGTTTATGCAAAATATTTCACTCCATGATCCTGAAGCGATTAGAATGGTTCATAGAACATAATAAGATACTATCCTCTAGTACTACTGGATTTAGAAGGGACCACTCATGTCATGACAACTTAGCGAGACTCGTAACCAAAATTCAAATTGGTTTTACTAAAAACATCCCCACTGTAGCGGCTTTCTTAGATATAGAAGGAGCTTATAATGACGTACTTATTGATAAGGTCGTAAATACTCTAAATTATTTTAAAGTTGGCTATTGTATATCTTCTTATATTTGGAACTTTTTAAAAGAAAGACATCTAATCATAAACGCTGACGAAGGTGAGGAGCAACATGTAAGGTGGACTGGTAAAGGAATTGCACAGGGTGATCCCTTATCCCCCCTCCTATTTAATATAGTTACGGCTACTATTTTTCAAAATATGAATAATATAAATTACAGTCAATACGCCGACGACTTTGTAATATATTGTAGTAATACTAAAATACTAGATAGTATAAATAATATACAGCACGCGCTAGATCTTTTTATGTCATCAATACGCTTACTGGGCTTAGAATTATCAAATAATAAATCTAAAATATGTGTATTTTCTAGAGGACATAAAAGGTTCTCAGTTGATATTAAAGTTAACAATAACACTTTGGAAGTAGTTGATCATGTTAAATATTTAGGAATGTGGCTTGATAAATGCTTGAGGTGGGGAAAGCATATTAACGAAGTAAATGAGACTTCACAGAAAAATATTCAGTTACTTAAAGTGTTAGCGGGATCGTCATGGGGCGTACATCCTTCACATATGCGTAGACTATACTTGGCTCTTATTAGGAGTAGAATTGATTATGGTTCTTTTTTATACGATAGCTCTGCAGTTAGTCACACTTATAAATTAGATAAATTACAAAATATTGCTTTAAGAACAATCGGCGGTTTTATCAAGTCCACTCCAATACATGTAATGGAGAGTGAGTTGAGTATTCCTCCTCTACAAATAAGAAGACAGTATATTTCTTTAAAATTTTGTTTAAAATTGCAATCCAGGACAAATGACTTGTCCACTAACTTGATTAAAGATCTCAATAACATAATTGAAAATAGGTACTGGACCAGGAAGAGGAAACCGTTGCTAGTTACTTCATACAACATTATAAAATGAGGAGATTTCGTCTTCCTGCCCTATTTTGATGTTTACTTTAGATACTTGGATGTCTAACATAAATATAAGGGATGTTATTCAATGTAACTTACTCTGTGTCACAGCTCCGAAATCAAAGTATGAAATTAATTCTTTAAAATATAATACCCTCAATGAATTGCGTGAAAGATATAGTGGCTGGCACGTTATATACACAGATGGATCGAAAACATCAGACGGGGTGGGAGCAGCTTTTTGTGATTTGGCAAATAAATTTCATAAAATGTATAAACTGAATGGCTATATTTCTGTCATGGGTGCTGAACTATTTGCCATTTCCGAGGCTTTGAAGTATGCATTAGAACTAAATGTGAAAAATGTTGTGATGTGTACGGACAGTAAAAGCGCGTTACAGCATATTTTAAAATGCATTCATAATGGATCAAAGGGTTTAGCCACGGCATACAAAATCTTAAGACAAATTCAGCACTTTAACCAGGTTGATAGAAATATCGTTATCCAGTGGATTCCGTCTCATGTCGGACTTTTGGGTAATGAGGAGGCTGACAGACTAGCTAAAAATGCAATTCAGGGCGGTACACAAATACGGGATTTATTGCCAAGCTATACGGAAATTTTAAGCAAATTCAGAAAATTAAACAACTCATTTTGGAAGGAACATTTCAACGAAAGATCGAAAACAAAAGGGATTTGGTATAAAAGTATACAATGTGAGCCTCCTCATATACCTTGGTTTACCGGGTCAAAATTGAATAGAAGACAAATTGTCGCTGCACTTCGATTACGGTCAGGACACATTCCACTAAACCACTTTGCTCACCTCATGCGAAAATCAGACTCCCCTAATTGTGAGATATGTGGCAGAATAGAAGACGTGCAGCATGTGTTGGTGGAATGTGTCCGACATACAAATAAGAGAAATACACTTCTCAACTCCATGAAACTGTCAGCAATGGATGTTGGAATGTTTAATGGTATTTTAGGTAAGCCTACATCTGAAGCTGCGAAAATTATATATTCCTTTATATTAGATAGATAAGTAGACTAAGTTATTTTGTTTAAGTTGTAAATACATTTGTTATGTAGAAGCACGATGGGATTGACATCGTCACATAATGTGTACAAAAATCCTTACAATAAATGAGATTAAAAAAAAAAAAAAAAAAAAAAAAAAAAACGTGATAGACAGGTTGACATTAACTTCATTGGCCTATTCAAGGCGACCTTTTCGGAATCCTATATTTAGTCATGCATGTTTTTTTTAATTACGATTCGATTTATTGAATGGACTGGTAATGTAAGTTCTTTTTCCGTTATCAACTGATTTCGTTTGATGCTTGTTGTCGATTATGGTACATGATTTATTTTTAACCGATTTCCCAAAAACGAGGAGGAAATCAATTCGGCTGTTTGTTGTTTTATTATTATACCTCTAGTTGTGTTTATGTTGACTTCTTACCTATCAGTGGGTGGTAGACCTATAAGTACGTATGACTAATAATAGTTACTTTTTGGTTTTTGAAGTCGGTTTTTTAAACATAGTTTTTGTTTTACTTTTTTTTCATTATTTTTCTACATATCTGGCCCGGTATTGACTTACTTCAGACTGAACAACTTAAAGGTATGATTTTACAAGGAGTATTCATCTGTTACCATTGTTTCCAATAATGAAAACTTTAGGTAATATTTTTACACTCATAAGCTGAAATTTTAATCACATTTATGGATTCCTGATAATCATTATATTAACTACCTACTAGAGGTACAACATCTCTTCATACAAAAATAACCATGAGACGCATGTTTAATACAGAAACATTAAGCGAAGTTTCCAGAAGTATGGTATTAGGTACATCGTTAACTGTGACAGAATTGTTGAACAAAAACTGCTGTCTCACAGTTTGTGATGAATTTAGGGGCACGTATTCACTTTGAGCGGCAAGTTATGTCATTGTTTCGTCAAAGAAAATAAGGGTGAGGACCGTCACCTCTTTGAGTAAGTCCCTGTTATGTTGCTCGGGAGATAATGTCGTACGAAAACTACACTTGTAAAAGATTGGTGAACTTTGAAAATATCACTTAGTTTGGTTTTTTATTTCAAACTTTGTCATTCTGAGTTTTTACTACGTTTGGTTCAACTACACAAATAATTAGAATGAGTAAACAGTAATAGTCGAATCTCTAGATTGCCTTCATCGATTAACATCCATGAAAACTAATTTGATTGTTTATAACTTTAAAATACTAAAAAATCTTTCGATTATTGTTAAAAATACTCATAAATACAAACGGCTACACTAACAAAGACGCTCTATACTTACCTACAAACACAGAAGAACACTAATAAAGGCGCTTTATAAAAATAGGTTCCACAATTTATTCCTCGGGTGTCTTTAAGTCTAAAGCCAGCCAGGGGATCACTGAGTGCTTACGTAACCTCATCTACCTCCACATTGATAACATGATGCTGTAGACTCGTGATTTCCCTAAGGAATCTACTTTTTGAAACCAAAAACTTCATTTGTTGCGTCACTGTACTTACATTTATTATGGAGCATAGAAGTCAATTTTTTTTTAATTTGTAGTTCTGCAGTTTGTAACTTAATGAAGGACGCATAGAATGTATTGGGTATGCAAGTATAAATAATTATTCTATAACAAGAGAGAAATTATAATCGAATTGCTAGTTTACTCGTAATTTGGATTTGCAATTACTAGAATTAATATTGTACGCCATCGGTTCGAAAATGTTCTACTATTTTATATAATAACTAGCTGTTGCCCGCGACTTCGTCCGCGTAGATTAATGACTTCTGACAGAATCAATTCAGTGCCCAAGTAAGATTTACCTATTTTGAAATGATTTATCGTAGTTTCAATAAATAAATAATCCCGCAGGGATCTTACCAGTACAGTGCCCGATCACGTAAGGTTTGAGTAATAAAAACTATTCTATCGACTATTGTTGTACCGAATCTCTCTAAAATAAGATCAGTGGTTAAGAGTTAGACAGTCCCGGTTCATTGACGCATAGTTCCCGTTCCCGTGGGACATCTGTGATAGAAACTATCAAACGTTACCCAGGCCCCAAATCATCGTTTTACCGAATGTAATTCAAAAAGATTCAATGATTCTAAATTCAATGGCTAAGAAGATTTATACAAACTATCATTCCCTATTTTATCCCCTAAGGGGTGGAATTTATCAAAATCCTTTCTAAGGAGATACCTATGTCATAGTAAATTTATGCATGCAAATTCTCAGCCCGCTCAATTTAAAACTGGCAAAGTATCATACTTTGGGGTGAGAATGTTCAAAAACCTTTCTAAAGGGACGTTTACGTCATAATATCCATCTGCACGCCGAATTTCAACCCGATCGGTGTAAAACTGACAAAGCTTCATACAAACGTTCATCCCCTACATTACCCCATTGGAGGTGGAAATAATCAAAATCCTTACTTGGGGATGCCTACGTCATAACATCTACCTGCATGCCGAATTTCATCTGCATCGGTGTAAAACTGTCAAAGCTTCATATAAACATTCACCCCCTATTTTACCCCCTTAGGGGTGGAAATGATCAAAATCCTTTCTTAGCGGATGCTTATATGATAACATCTATCTGCATGTCAAATTTCAATCCGATCGATTTAAAACTGACAAAGTCTCATACAAACTTTCATCCCCTATTTTACCCCCTTGGGGGTGGAAATTATCAAAATCCTTTCACAGCGGATTACTACGTCATAACATCTATCTGCATGCCAAATTTTAACCCGATCGGTTTAAAACTGACAAAGTCCCATACAAACTTTCATCCCCTATTTTACCCCCTTGGGGGTGGAAATTATCAAAATCCTTTCACAACGGATGCCTACGTCATAACATCTATCTGCATGCCAAATTTCAACCCGATCGGTTTAAAACTGACAAAGTCTCATACAAACTTTCATCCCCTATTTTACCCCCTTGGGGGTGGAAATTATGAAAATCCTTTCACAGCGGATGCTTACGCCATAACATCTATCTGCATGCCAAATTTAAACCCAATCGGTTTAAAACTGACAAAGTTTCATACAAACTTTCATCCCCTTTTTTACCCCCTTGGGGGTGGAAATTATCAAAATCCTTTCTTAGCGGATGCCTACGTCATAACATCTATCTGTATTCCAAATTTTAGCCCAATCTATCCAGCGGTTTGGGCTGTGCGTTGATAGATCACTATGTCAGTCAGTCAGTCAGTCAATCACCTTTGAATTATATATATATAGATATTATTATTATTATTTTTTCATTATTATTATTTTTTAAGGTGTAAATATTTTAGTTTTACTTATACTAATAAACTAAAAAGATAAAAAAAAAAAATATTATATATGCTATTGTATGAGTTGGATTAGTACACATTTCTAGTTATAGAAAATTTTTACAATCGAATACGTCATAATCAGAATGCCTAGTACAACTTATTTTTACCACAGTACCGCGTTAAGCCCTCTGATTGGTTAGTTTACTTGGAACTGGTCAATCAGAGCGTTGAACGTCATAAATGTGTCGATTACGTTAATAGAGTGTGGGAGAGCCATGTTTCGGTACGAATAGGCCGGTTTGAATGATACCACGGTCTCACAGAAAAGCGACGTGAAACAACACTCACGTTGTGTGTCATCGTATGAGTGAGGTTACCGGAGGCCCAATACTCCCATCCCCAATCTCCTTAATCTCCGAATCCCCAACGATCCTCAAATTCATAGTCCCCAAAAGGCCGGTAACGCACAAAAAGAAGTCGTACTACGCACTGAAACTTGAGACAGTATAACCATTTACTCAAAGTCAATGAACTTCTTAAAAACAGCATCTGTTCATTCAACTACATGGAATGTAGCAAAGATTATGTCATGTTTGTGTGCTCTGCGATCTTAATCTACGTCATAAGGCGACTAATTTGCTAATTGGGTTGTTTAGACAGGGCAACCTCTACCATCGGTCCGTTAATCGAGTTTATATTTTGTTATCATCATTTTCTGAACATAATCAGATAAGCCCTTTCATCTACGTATAATTTCTTGTAATATTTATACTTGTTTTGGTCGATACTGAAGTTAATCTTTGTTAAAATATTGTGGTTTGTATCCACTAAAGTATTCGGGCCTGGTACTGAATTCTTTATCCGCTATGTCGAATGCATTTAAAAATACATCATTTCTCATACACTCAAATTAAGCTAGTTGCCCACGTTAACCGTATAGTCAATGAATATGTATAAGTAATGTAAAAAAAAATGTTCTATAGCTCTTAAAATCGTGGAAACTATTTTATAGACACCAACTTTCCTACTTGCTATTAACACAAGCATCACTATGCTTCAAAAAGCTTTTAGTAGTCCACTCTTGGACGTTCATAAGCTACTTCCATGCCACTTTACTATATTTTTTATTAAAAGAAATTATATGCTGATTTCTGCCGGCTCGGTTTTGACACTCAGTGTCAGTGTAACAACAGTGCACCCTAGCAATTTATAAAAAGAAGCGTTGCCCCACACTAGGATTGTCTCCTGTGTCGTAGGTGCGTTTACAAACATACAAGTTCACATACACATGACACCCAGGTGTCATGTGTATGTGAACTTGTATATTAACTGTAACTTTTCCGGGTCTGGACCCGGAACAACAATCTGTGGATGACACAAGGAGTTGCTCCGTGCGGGAACATTGTTATTCCCTGATCTCTCACAACTAGTTTCTCTTGTAGAAAGTCCGGAAAAAATGGTATCTAGAAAGTACTATAAAGATAATAGCGTAAGATCCGTGTGGGAATCGAATACGTGACACATTACGCCTCAACCGTGCCGTCAACATTAAAACCAATACCAAGTGACGAAACTAACAATCCCCTAAATCTTGCACCAATGGTAGTGTCAGGTGTAAGTATCTAAAAGACAGCAATACATTAAGTAAAGTGACGTCACCATTGTCTCCGTCGCTGGAAGTTTCCAAGTGACCTGGTTGCATTGGGCCGGATCTCCTTGTTGTGTACTTTTGTCTCAGAAATGTTACACAGCTTATGTTTTTAGATTGACCCTTAGCTTTTGATGGCTTTGTTATTGAGAATTTGGGTGAATGATTTTTCTGTATGTTTTCTTTTGTTCTGAAACTGTAGTTTTGTGGTTCCTGGTAGGCTCACGACGACCTTGATTATACTATATACTGTTATGCACGTAGACATGAATACATTCTTTAATTTTTTTTTTTGTTATTTAAATGTCATCTTTAGAAGTTTAGTTGATTTTATTACTCGTAATGACTAATGGAGCGATTAACAATTAAATACTCTATTAAAAGTGAAAGCATTGAATTTAAAACTAATAGCTACAGGGACAAAAAATATAGGAAAAATTCAAAAAAGAAATCTACCCAAAAATTCAAATCTACACAAACAAACTTCGAGCGAACACAAAAAAAAACGACATTGAAAACTAATTTTGAGGTTATCACGTTTGACATTTAACAAAAAATAACATCACCGAAACTTATAAAGTCGATAACAGGGCTACAGAGATCCGGATTAATCCTAATCCCGAAGATAAGCTGCCGGGTTTATCCGAAAATGTTGAATTTTGAAACACGAGTACCCCACTTAAATTTGAAGTGAGACAGGCCGGTGACCGTAAATGAATTGAAAAGGATTTTAATGATTGATTGATGAGAATAGCCGGATTTTAGTGGAAGTTGTTGGTGATTAGTTTAGTGGAGAATATAACAAGTTCTTAAGGATAGGTATGATACTATTTTGACAATACTTTTTGTCCAGGTAAAGGAGGGGATTCGTAAGTGTCTATTACCACTAGTGATACTATACCATAAAGAATTCCATTCAGAACAATTGATGAAACTGACTTGACAATAAATAGCATTAGGACCAGGAAGAAGCAACTTACTCCTGACTGAAGTAATAAAACAAGAAAAAATACTAAAAACAAATTAAAATCAAAACATTCATTTCATTTCCATCAAACAAAAAACACCCCTATATACTTTAATACGCGTAATACGCCATTCAAAATCCTTACAAACAAAAAAATATTATGTAAGCGTTGAAAAACCTGCTTTGACACGGCCACCGTGTTTAAGCCAACACGTTGGATCTTATTTGTAAAACAGTACAGGTAACGTGATCAGACGTGCGTGGTTACCGAGCCGAGTTTTGTAGCAGACTAAAAACTGATGCCAGTAAAATACAGAGGACGTTTTATGAAAAACTTGCTTTTCACCTGTGGCGTCACCCGTGTTTAAATTAGGTTTCTTTCGAGAGGATCAACATTCTATAGGAATATTGGGTTAAATATTAGCTCATGTTATTTTCTGAAAGGTTTAAAGAATCGGTAACGCCGTGTGATGATGACGGCGTAAAATACAATTTGTCACAATGCCTATACTTCTCAAGGGTATCCTAAAACCTAGCTGAGGCTTCAGGTACCAGACACAATTAAAGAACAATAGGTCGCGGTCACCGGTGACCGCTTGGTGTTTGACAGATTAAACTGTGATTTCCGACCCGCTATTTAATTAAACAAGCTTTTAATAATCGGTCTAATAAGAAGTCCAATGAACTGTCACAATTGTTGGTGACGATGATGATGATCATGACTTGGTAAATGTAAAGCCTACTCTGTACAAACAAACAGACAGTAAAAAGTATCCCCTCTATAATATTAGGAACGGATGACAAAGAAAAAAATACAACAGACTAAAAAGTTTGCGGTTTGTTTGAGGAGTTGGAAGTTAAAGTACATGTTTCAGATAGATGTAGTTACAGATTTTATTGGGACTTTAGATAAGAGTGCTTTTGGAAATTCGTGATGGAATTGTGAAGAGAAGTAGGGGAGTTTGATGTTTTTGTGGATTTATAGATTTAGTCTTCTTTAAAGAAACGGTTTTGGAGAGACATTTTATCATGACTAAATCTCCTTGACCAGGCGTGGTGATTAATGCTCAAACCTGTTTTGTGTGAGCAGAGGCCTTTGCTTAGTTCTGGAAACTTATAGGTTGTTGGTGTATGATGTGTGTAATTGTGTATGATAGATTTCAACGTTATGAGATTTTCATACATCACATTTTATTTATGCTATTTCAGCCATGATCGTCCCACTATAGGGCAAAGGCCTTATACCCTCCTTCTACTCTTCTCTGTACATAGCTTATAGCTTTCTGCGACGAATCCTCGTCGTGGGCGTCAAGTTCATTTGTTTCATGATGGCATGCATGGAACATTTTAGGCATACACTAAAACTCGCGTAGTTGAAGGTAAAGGAAGTAAATGATGTCAGAATTTATAATAGTGCAGCTGAAAAAACATTTGATATGTGTGGAGGTATGCTTAGTCAAGAAACTCTGTTAGCTTGAATTTAAGTTACATTATTATAATTATCACTCGTTATAACATTGAACATTTGTTTTGAGACTAAAATTCGAAGCAAAGCTATTGAAAACAATCATAAATGAAATATTAACAAGGATTAGTTAGTTTTTATCGCCTATACAACGCAAATTGCATGACTTTCATAAGAACATTTATAATATTCAGCTTATAAAATAAAAGGCTTAGAAAACTGTATGAAGGATTGCGATAAGTTGTTCATAGAAATATTCTCCTACAAAATAGGTTTCATTTTGAAAAAAAAAAAACAAAAACTTGTTATAAAAAGTTCGGCTCAGTTTTTGCGCTATTTGTAACTAGAATGGGTAAGACGTGCTTGAAATGCGAAATAATTAAACATTTTCTCATCTGCTTGTTTATTATACTTTTCAATCTCGAATAACTTAGACTGGACTCTTATTAAACATTAATACCCAGATATATTTATGAACTACACTTGAGTGTAGTTGAGCTCAATCGTTGTTGTGTCGATTACTTTGTGATTCGTCGCGAATAAGGTTACCTAACTAAGGCTCCATTCACCCCTTCTCCCACACCTTGCCCAATCTCTAAATTATAAAACTCTAAAAATGCCGGTAACTCCTATGGTGTTAGCGGTGTCCATGGACGATTATGTTACTTACCGTTCGAAGCCTGAGCTTCTAAATTTGAACGAGCGTCCACGCATCTGACTGCGAGGACATTCTTTTGCCGCTTTATGCCAAAAACATAGTTTAGTTAAGCAAAGAGATTCTTGATGTAGGTAAGGAATTCAAAAACTTTGGCTTGTTTTTTTCTG